GAGAGGTACGCTTGTGGGTGATCCCTGCCTCCTTCAGCAGCTTCTTGAACTCCCCTTGAAATTCGGTTCCCTTGTCCGTGAGTACCTCTGCACATGCTCCGAATCTGCATATCACCTGCTCCTTGAACGCTGCTGCCACGTGCCTTGAGCTCTTGCTCGGGATTGCCCTGACCTCCAACCACTTGCTCACGTGTTCTACCATGAGCACGATGTACTGCTTGCCTCCACGGCTTAGCGGCAGTTCCCCCGCCAGATCCAATGACCACCTGAAGCCAAGACCGCGAATGGGCAGGGACTGCAACTCAGCTTTGGCTTGGGTGAGGTTTGCCTTGCTCCTTTGGCACGCCTCACAGCCCTCCACCCACTTCTTCACTTGCCTCCGCATCCCTTCCCACCACCACCCTGTCTTCAACAGCTGCACTGTCCTCTCGTGCCCAAAGTGCCCCAACTTTGTGTGCACCTCCTTGATCACCGCCTCCCTCTCCCTTGGCTCTGGCACCAGCTTCCATCCGTCCTCTGCCTGTATCTGTAACTGCTGCTGGTACCACCTGTAATGGTGTCCCCTTGCCCTCACTCTCCCTTCTCTCCTTTTACCCACCGCATGGCTTGTTCATCTTCCCAAATATCTGCTGGCCCCTTCTTTCCCTTGGCCCCACTCAGCTCCACCTGTCTCGCCAGTAGTGTCAAGGTCACTGTAGGCTCTGGCAGTGGGGGGTTCCGAGAGAGACCGTCCACGTGTTGCAAGATTTTTCCTGGCCTGTGTTTGACCTTGAAGTCATACTCCTGCAGTTTCATTACCCACCGTGCGTTCCTACCTGTCAACCCCGGGGTAGTCATCAGCCAGGTTAGTGGCTGGTGATCCGTCACCAAGGTGAACTCTCTCCCTTGTAGGTACACCCTGAAGTGCCCTACCGCCCATACCGCTGCCAATCCCTCCCCTATGTATGAGCTGTGCTGTGCATCTGCCGAGTTGCAGCTCCTACTCGCGTATGCTACCACCTTCTCCTCTCCTTCCACCTCTTGGCAGAGTATCCCTCCCATCCCTTGGCTGCTCCAGTCAGTGTAGAGCGTGAATGGCTGATCGGCTGCGGGGAGCTGCAGCACCGTTGCTGTCTTCACCACTGTCATTAGATCCTCCAATGCCCCCTTTTGTGCCTCTCTCCACTCCCACGCCTTGTCCTCCCGCAGCAACCCATTCAGCACCGCCGCTCTCTTGCTGAAGTTGGGCACAAACCGTCGGTAATAGCTCAGGAAGCCCAGCACCGCTCTCAGCCCTGACTTGTCCTTCGGCTCCCTCAGCCTGTCCAGGACTTCCACCTTGGCCTGTTGGATCCCAATCTGCCCCCCTTGCACCTCATAGCCCAGATATTCCACGGTTAGCTCGCCCCATCTGCACTTCTTCGGGTGACAGGTGAGTCCTGCCGCCTCTATCGCCATCAGGGTCCTCTCCACATGCTGTAGGTGCTGCTGCTCTGTCGTGCTGAAGATAACCACATCATCAATGTAGCACGCCGCACACTCCACCCCTCGCAGCACGCTGTCCATGACCCTCTGGAACATGGCTGACGCGTTCCTCAGCCCAAATGGCATGTATAACCACTCGTACAGCCCGTCCGGCCCATGGAAGGCCGTCTTCTTGATATCTTCTTCCCTGATTTTGATTTGGTTGAACCCTTGCCTCAGGTCCAGCGTCGTGAAGAACACTCCCTCTGCCAGTTTGTCAAAGATCTCTTCCGCCATCGGCATCGGGTACCTGTCCGCTATGGTGATTTTGTTTAGAGCCCTGTAGTCCCCGCACATCCTTCTGCTCAGCACCTCCCCCGTCAGGTCCTTCCTGGCTGCCACCACCGTCGGCGTGGCGTACTCTGATTCTGACCTCCTGATCAGTCCTGCTTCCAACAGCTCCTTGATCTTCTCCTTGCATATTTCCTCGTCCCCGTGTGGCATTTTCCTGATGCGGTGGAACACGGGCTCCGTACTGCTCAGTTTCAGCTCCATCTCTTTCACCTTGCTTCTTCCCAATTCTTGCAGGGTGAAGGCGAAGCACTTCCTGTGCTTTGCCAGCAGCTGCTGCATGGCCTCCTTGCCCTCCTCACTCATCGCTTCTCCCACCTTCCATTTCTCCCCCTCTTCTTCTAGGCAACTCCATGCTCCTTGAGGGACTGACTCTGCCTCTACTTTCTCTCCCTCATGCCCCCAGCTTATGACCGTCTCCCGCCACATCCGCTGGACCAGCCACCTCAGCATGTGCCCATCCATTGCATTCCCCAAAGCCCTTCTCCTGTCTGCTTCACTCACCCCAGGTGCTGCATTTGCATTCTCTCCATACCCCATGGCCAGCTCTCGTTCAAGTGCGGTTGGTTCCTCCCACTGCTGTCTCCTATGATCATGCACCATCCCCGGCCCTGGTTTCCCGGCTGCACACTCATACCCAGCCGCCCCTGCATACGCCACCAGGGTTGGCAGGGCTCGTCTATCCTACCTCACTTGGTTGCAAGGGTAATGTTTGCTGTAACTCTTCCGGCACACTGGCGCTGGGGTCCGTCCTGGCTCGAGGATGTCCTGCACCTTCCTTGTGCTCGTTTCACTCCATCCACCTCCTCCTGCAGTTTCAGGGCCGGGACAACATTCTGCCAGTACATCCTAAGCCTATGCGCGTAAGACCCTGCTCTGGCCGCATCACAGCTCACCCCTCTCCCCAATTGCCCCTTGATTCTTTCCTTCACTAATCGGATCGGCTCTCTGCTGTCCCCTTCCAGGTCTAGATTCTCCAGCAAGTACGCCACTCTGCCCTGCCTCTCTTGCAGCCACCCCATGATGCGGAACAGGTCCTCCATCAACTCTGTTCTGGGATCTCCTCCTCCCTTCCCCTTGCCTGCCCAAGACACCCCTTGACATTCCCACCCCGCCACCAGCAGATCTACCTGCCCCCAGCTGGCCACCTCTGCCTCCGCTATTTCCTTCACGTCATGAATAGTTCTGCCCATGGCCTCTCGAATCACCCTCCCGCTTAGCAGGTCCGGGAACTCCGCCATCCTGCTTACCACCGGCTCCCTTTCCACATATGTCCATCTCCTCACTGCTATCCCACTCCTTACCACTGCTGACAGCCCTGCCCACATCCCTCCAAACAGCTCCACCAGGTGTATGGGTTGTTGTCAATCACTCTTTCGCCTTGGCTCGTCCATCCACTTCATCCTGGGCTCTTCTCCCAACCCTGCTGTCCCTCCCTGCTCCCCCGCCTGTTGCTCCCCTGGCGGCAGTCCCACCGCGGCTTGGTATGCTCGCTTGGGCTCCACCTTCACAAATCGCACCGACAGCTCTCCCAAAGGCCCTTCTTTCTTCAAGTACCTCGTTCGGAACTCTACTTTCTCTGTCCAGGTGCATATGGTCATCCCCACCGCAAACACCAGCTCGGTGCCTACCAGCACATCGAAATCCCCTGACTCTGAGATCCCGCATTTCATTCGGATTTTGGTCTCGTGTCCCCCCCCCCCCCCCCCCCCCCCCGGCAATAGAGTCACCTCTACGGGCGTACGGGTGCACGGCATCCATTTTGGTTCCCCTCCCTCTGCCGTCATTGCCAGCATTCCCTTCGCCACATGTCTTTCCGGTGCCATCAACCCCAGCCTCTCAGCCATCCCCTTGCCCAGCATCACACTCTGTGCTCCTGTGTCTATGATCGCGGTCTTCACCTTCTCGCCCTCCACCTCCATTGCCCCCCTTTCCAGCAGCAGCACTGAGGTCTAGCACGCCAGCCTCTCTTGCGGATGGCGTGCTGGTGGCCGCTCCAGTACTGGCTCGTCTGGCTTCTGTCCCCTCGCCTGCTCCTTCCTTTCCTGTTCCCGCCTGCCATCCTTCCCTCCGCTCCTCAGCCCCATCTCCTCTCTTCCTCTCCAGGCCATGAGGGCACACTGCACATCTTCTTCCACCTCTTCTCCCTCCTCGTCCCTGGCATACATCCCTGCTTCCGCTTCTCCTCTTAGTCCTGCTGCCCACAGCTGCGCCTGGAGCCTGTTGATCTGCCGTTGCAGTTCCTCTGGATTTCTCCTGGCCCCTCCCTCCCTCTGGTAGCAGTCCTTCGCCTCCTCGCTTCTTGAGAATTTCGCACCTGGCGGCCTCTGGGCACTCCCGCTTCCGATGCCCTGGTTTCCTAGAACCGTCACAGTTCTTGCAGTCCCTGCGGAGGTGTCCTGGCTGCCCACACCTATGACATGTCCTGGTGTCAAGTCCTGCTTCCCCTCGCCCGTCTGTCCTCCCTCCCCCTTCCGGTATTATTGCTGCCGCCCATGTTGGCCTGCGGCTTCTCTCTGCTGGCTTGGGCAGATAGGCCTCATATTTCCTCTGGGCGAGCTCCACCCTCTCTGCTAGGTCAAATACCTCCTCCAGGCTTGCCTGTGCTCCCAGCTCATACACCTTCATCCTCAGCCCTCCTAACGCTTCATCCAAACCCTCCAAGAACTTACTGTTGAGGAGGCTACTATCCAAGCACCTCACATCCTCAGCCACATTGACCAGTCGGTTATTGTATGTCAGCAGCGACTCAGCCCTCCCCCTTCTGAACTCTTGGAATTCCCTTATCCGCTCAGCCGTGTGCCTGGGAAACTGCCGTTGCAGTCGCTCTAAGAATGCTTCGGTGGGGTCTTCCCCGTACCTCCCTGCCCTCCATAGCAACTCTTCCATCCTCATGCGGTACAACGTTTCGGCTTCCTTTTCCAACGTGTTCGGCAGGCTCAAGAAGAAGTCCACCGGGTCCATGCTGTTCCGGTCGCAATAGTATTTCACGTTTCCTACTTGCATAAAGTATTTCTTCAGTGAAGGCCCTGACCGGTGATCGCCAGAGAACCAGGCCGGCACCTCTACCCTTGGCGCCATGGCCGCGCCTCCCCGTCCCTCTCCCCACGCTTCACTCGCCCCCCTTGACTGTCTCCCATACGTCCCTCCTTGCTTAGCTCTCTCCAGGCCCTCCCTCGCTTCTCGGGCCCGTTCAGCCCCGTACGTCAGGCTTCCACTCTTGGTCCTGCTCTCTCGATGGTCCCGACGCGCCTCACTTTGCTGTTTCCACTGACCACCTTCCTTCCCCGACCGCTCCCACCGCCGCGCCGGTGAGTGGTCCCTCCTCTCCCATTCTTCTCCCCGTCTCTCGTGTAGTCGGCGCCTTGTCGGCGATGGTGCCCACCCTTCCCTGCCTCTTCCCTGCTGCTGATGGTCGGACGGTGAGTGTCTCGCCTCGTCCATCCTTCCTTCTCGGTGGCGGCGTCGGTCGGGCGAGCGTGATTCGCCACTGGGCCTCTTGTCCCACCGCCTCTGTTGGCGCGACGAGCGTGATCCTCCCCTCTGTCGCCCTTCCTGCTGCCAACACAGCTCAGGCGAGCGGGACTCCGCGCGTCGTCCTCCTCCATGCGCCTGCTGTCGATCAGCCGTGCGCCACTCGCTCTCCTGTCTTTCTCCCCGCGGATGCATCCTGCCATCAAGCCGCTCCGCTCTTGGCTGAGGTCCGCTGGGCGAGCGCGCCTCCCCATCTTGCTGCCCCGCCCGTCGCTGCTGCCCTTTTGGCGTCCGCGAGTGCTCAGCTTCTCTTCCTCCGCGCGCTCCCCGCATGTGCGTCTTCCTCCCGGCTCTGGCGCTCCTGCTGCGGCGTGTCGCGTGATGGGCGTCCTCCCCGTCGGTCGAGCCTTTCTTCGCGTGGCTCCTCTCGCGCTTCACCCGCTTCCTCTTTGGCCGCCTCGTGCGAATCGGTGGTTTCGTTGGTCGGCGCAGATTCTTCCTCTTCGACTCCGACCAGGACGTGGTGATTCTCACCTGCGTGTTCGTAGACGGGCTCCTGCTCGTCATCCTCATCCCCCGCATTGTCCTCATGCGTCCCCTCCCGCGTCCGGTCGGCCTGTGGCGCTCCTTCGGCTCTGCTGACGACAGAGCCTTCGCCTCGACCGCGCAGGGGCTCCTCACGTCCCCGCCAGCGACCTCGCTCATCGCGCCGCTGCCTCCCCTCTTCCGGCGAGCGGAACACCCCACTGTCGCTGTGATAACGGTGCTCTCCTCCGGTAAGGTGAAACGTGTCTCTCCGCCATGGCGCGCCGCTCGTGAATGCAGCAAACCTTTTGACGCTTGCTTGGCCGTGCGCCGGACCTCCTTCCCGTCTGGTCGGCTCGACGGGCACCCGATCCGCGCGGAAGGCCAGCCTCTTGGGTGATCGCTCCAGGGACCGCCAGCGTTCCTGTGAGCGCTCACGCCGCGGCCGTTCCTCCTCTCGTCGGCTAAAGACTCTGCCCCAGCGTAGCTCGTACTTGTCCATTCTGTGCGTATGCTTGTTGTTTGTTATGAAATAGATAGCTCCCTCAGCCCAAAGGTTCCCTCCTGGTGGCGTGCCACTGTGTGCTAGAAGCTAAGGTGTCAACTTCCACTAATTGGGGAGAATAACAAACAACAAGCATCGAGTGGGTGAGTGTGCATGACCTTACCTAGCCCAGCCCCAAGCTGCACATTGCAAATGTGCGGCTCGGGGTTGGGATTCGTTGGTCCCACATTTCTCCCATCGGTGCTTTCCCCCTCTATTCCCCATTCGCTCCTAGCCATTTTCATGTCATACGCTATAGTACTTCCTACACCAGCCTGCTACTGTTATTGCATATGCATAAAGTGCATATGCAGTAACACTACCGGTCCATTAGACCAACAACCCAGTTGGTCCAACCAATCCATTGGACCAACAGGCCAGTTGGTCCAACCGGTCCATTGGACCAACAGGCCAATTGATCCAGCCAGTCCATTGGACCAACAGCCCAGTTGGATATACCGACCAATAGGCCAGTTGGTCCAACTGGTCCATTGGACCAACAGGATTGTTGGTCCAAACTTGGTTTAACCGGTCCATTGGACCAACAGGCCAATTGGTCCAACCGGTCCATTGGACCAAAAGGCCAGTTGGTCCTACTGGTCCATTGGACCAATAGGCCAGTTGGTCCAAAGTTGGTCCAACCAGTCAATTGGAACAACCCAGTTGGTCCAATCAGTCCATTCGGCTAACAGGATAGTTGGTCCAATTGGTCTATTGGATCAACAGGCCAGTTTGTTTAACCGGTCCATTGGACCAACAGGCGACTTGGTCCAACCAGTCCATTGGACCAACACGCCGGTTGGTGCAACTGGTCCATCGGACCAAAAGGCCAGTTGGTACTACCGGTCCACTAGACAAATCGGCCAGTTGGTCCAACTGGTCCATTGGACCAACAGGCCAGTTGGTCCAACCGATCCAATGGACCCACATGCCAATTAGTCCAACAGGTCCATTGGACCAACAAGCCGGTGGTCCTACCGATCCATTGGACGAATACTCCAGTTGGTCCTACCGGTCCGTTGGACCACTAGCCCAGTTGGTCAAACCGGTCCATTGGACCAAACGGCTTGTGGACCAACAACCCAGTTGATTCAGCTGGTCTATTAGACCAACAGTCCAATTGGTCCAACCTGTCCATTGGAACAACTGGTCAAGTGGACCAAGAGCCCAGTTGGTCCAACAGGCCAGTTGGTCCAGCCGATTCATTGGACCAACCGGCCAGTTGGTCTAACCGGTCCATTGGACCAACCCGCTGGTTGGTTCAACTGGTGCATTGAACCAACACGTCAATTGGTCCAACCAGTCCGATGGACCAATGGGCGAGATGGTCCAACCGTTCCATCGGACCAACAGGCCAGTTTGTCCTACTGGTCCATTGGACCAATAGGCCAGTTGGACCAAAAGTACGTCCAACCGGTCCATTGGACCAACAACTTACTTGGTCCAACTAGTCCATTCGACCATCAGGATAGTTGGTCAAAATGGTTCATTGGATCAACAGGTCAGTTGGTGCAACCGGTCTATTGGACCAACAGACTTGTTGGTCAAACTGTTCCATTGGACCAACAACCCAGTTGGTCCAGGCGGTCCATTGGACCAACAGGTCAGTTGGTCCAACCGGTCCATTGGACCAACTGGTGAAGTGGACCAACAGCCTAGTTGGTCCAACCAGTCCATTGGACCAACAGGATAGTTGGTCCAAACGGTCCATCGGGCCAACAGGCCAGTTGGTCCAATCGGTCCATTGGACCAACAGGACAATTGGTCCAACCGGTCTATTGGCCCAAGACACCAGTTACTTCAACTGGTCCATTAGACCAACAGGTCAGTTGGTCTAACCGGTCTATTGGACCAACAGGACAGTTGGTCCAACTGGTCCATTCGACCAACAGGCCGGTTGGTCCCACCGGTCCATTGGACCAACACGCCAGTTGGTCCAACCGGTCTATTGGACCAACAGGCTAGTTGGTCAAACCGGTCCATTGGACCAACATGCCAGTTGGTCTAACCGGTCTGTTGGACCAACAGGCCAGTTGGTCGAACCAGTCCATTGGACTAACCGACAAATTGGTCCGCCGGTCAATTGGACCAAAAGGCCGGTTGGTCCAACCGGTCCAGTGGACCAATATGTCAGTTGGTCCAACCGGTCCAATGGACCAACAGGACAATTGTTCCAACCGGTCCAAGGGACCAATAGGCCAGTTGGTCCTACCAGTCCATTGGACCAACAGGCCAGTTGGTCCAATCAGTCGATTGGACCAAAAGGTCAGTTGGTCCAAAGTTGGTTTAACCGGTCCATTGGACCAACAGGCCAATCGGTCCAACCGGTCCATTGGACCAAAACGCCAGTTGGTCCTACAGGTCCATTGGACCAATAGGCCAGTTGGTCCAAAGTTGGTCCAACCAGTCAATTGGAACAACAACCTAGTTGGTTCGGTCAGACCATTCGGCTAACAGGATAGTTGGTCCAGCTCGTCCATTGGATCAATAGGCCAGTTTGTTCAACCTGTCCACTAGACAAACCGGCCAGTTGGTCCAACTAGTCCATTGGACCAACAGGCCAGTTGGTCCAACCGATCCAATGGACCCACATGCCAATTGGTCCAACCGGTCCGTTCGACCTAAAGGCCAGTTGGTCCAACCAGTACATTTGACCAACAGGCTAGTTGGTTCAACCGGTCCATTGGACCAACAAGCCAGTTGGTCCAATGGGTCCATTGGACCAACAGGCTAGTTGGTCCAACCGGTCCATTCGACGAACAGACAGTTGGTCCTACCGGTCCATTCGACCAACACTTCAGTTGGTCCAACCGATCCATTGGACCAACAGGCCAGATGGTCCAAAGTTGGTCCAACCGGTCCATTGGATTAACAGGCCAGATGGTCCAACTGGTCCATTGGACCAACAGGCCACTTGGTCCAACCGGTCCATTGGACCACAGGATAGTTGGTCCTACCGGTCCATTGGACCAACATTCCAGTTGGTCCAACCCATCCATTGGACAAATAGGCCAGGTTGTCCTAACGGTCCATTTGACCAATAGGCCAGTTGGTCCAACCATTCCTTTGGACCAACAGGCGAGTTGGTCCAACCGTTCCATTGGACCAACAGGCATGTTTGTCCTACCAGTCCATTGGACCAATAGGCCAGTTGGACCAAAGTTGGTCCAAACGGTTCATTGGACCAACAACCGAGTTGGTCTAATCGGTCCATTCGACCATCAAGATAGTTGGTCCAAATGGTCAATGGGGTCAACAGGCCAGGTGGTGCAACCGGTCCATTGGACCAACTAGCCAGTTGGTCAAACTGGTCGATTGGACCAACTGCCTAGTTGGTCCAGCAGCTCCATTGGACCAACAGCCCAGTTGGTGCAATAACAAGCTAGTTGGTCCAACCGGTCCATTGGAACAACAGGCCAATAGGTCCAGTCGGTCCATTGGACCAACCAGCCAGTTGTTCCAACCAGTCCATTGAATCAATACGTCAGTTGGGCCAATAGGTTTATTGGACCAATAGGCGAGTTGGTCCAATTAGTCAATTTGACCAACAGGACAGCTGGTCCAATCGGTCCATTGGACCAACCGGCCAGCTGGTACAACCGATCCATTGGACCAACGGGCCAGTCCATTGGACCAACGGGCCAATTGGTCCAACTGGTCCATTGGACCAACAAGCCAATTGGCCCAACCGGTCCATTGGACTAACACGCCAATTGGTCCAACCGGTCCATTGGACCACCAGGCCAGTTGGTCCAACCGGTCCATTGAACCAACGGGCCACTTGGTCCAACCGGTCCATTGAACCAACGGGCCAGTTGGTCCCGCCGGTCCATTGGACCAACGGGCCAGTTGGTCCAACAGGTCCAATGGACCAACGGGCGAGTTGGTTTAACCGGTCCATTGGACCAACGGGCCAGTTCATCCAACCGGTCCATTGGACCAACGGGCCAGTTGGTCCAACCTGTCCACTTGACCAACGGGCCAGTTGGTCCAACGGGTCCATTGGACCAACGGGCCACTTGGTCCAACCGGTCCATTGGACGAACGGGCCAGTTGGTCCAACCGGTCCATTGGACCAACGGGCCAGTAAGTCCAACCAGTGTGCATTGGGCCAACGGGCTAGTTGGTCCAACCGGTGCATTGGACCAACGGGCCAGTTGGTCCGACCGGTCCATTGGACCAACAGGCAAGTTGGTCCGGCCGGTCCTGTGGACCAACGGGCCAGTTGGTCCGACCGGTCCAGTGGACCAACGGGCGAGTTGGTCCGACCGGTCCTGTGGACCAACGGGCCA